GCCTCGGGGCGCTCCCGGGATCCGAACCCGGGCCGCCAGCATCAGAGCGCGCGCACCCAACCGCCAAGCCACAGGGCCGGCCCTCCTGTGGACATTTCTTATTGTCCATTTTTCTGTAGGTTTGTTGGTCATGTCTTCTCTACTTTTAGAATCTATATATATTAGGAATATTAAACCTTTGTTCTTTCCTAGTTTATCATTTTTCTTTTTACGTCACTAGTTTTTTCCCCATACAAAAGTTTTTTATTTTTAAGTGGTCAAATTTATCAATTTTCTTCTTATTCTGAAGTTTGTAACTTATATTTTATTTTATTTTATTTATTTATTTATTTTATTTTTTTCCCCCCAAAGCCCCAGTAGATAGTTGTATGTCATAGTTGCACAGCCTTCTAGTTGCTGTATGTGGGACGTGGCCTCATCGTGGCCGGAGAAGCGGTGCGTTGGTGCGCGCCCGGGATCTGAACCCAGGCTGCCAGCAGCGGAGCGCACGCACTTAGCCGCTAAGCCACGGGGCCGGCCCTGTAACTTATATTTTAAAAGACTCATATTGGCTGCTGTGTTGGGAAGAGACAGTGGTTGGGGTATGGATGGGAGAGGCAAGGGCAGAAACAAGAAGACCAATTTGAAGGTGGTGGTAATACAGCTTTGGTGGCTGTGGAGGTGGTTCTGGATATCTTCTGAATGATCTGATGATGGATAGGATGTAGAGTGTGAGAGAAAGAGAAGAGTGGGGATGACTCCAAAGTTTTTGGCCTAACAGGATTGAATAGCCGTTAACTGGGAAAGAGAAGATTGTTGGAGGGACGGGTTTGGCGGAAGATCAAGTGTTTGGTTATGGACAAGTAAAGTTTCAGATACGTTTTGGACATGGAAGTGGAGACGTCAAATAGAAAGTTGAATATGTGAGTCTGGGAGCGTTTAGGTAATTTTAGGGAGTGTTTAGGTCTAGGAATAATCGTTTGGAAATTATCAGCATGTGGAAGATATTTATTTCTTTAAGTTTTCCCTTTTTATTTACTTATTTTTTATTGAGATATGCTTTACATATAGTGAAATGTACAGATATTAAATGTACAGTTCAGTGACTTGACAAATGTATACACCTGTGTAACTAGCCACTCAATTAAGTATAGAGCATTTCTCTACCCTGGAAAGTTCCCTTGTGCCCCTTCTAGTCAGTCTACTTCCCAGAGGTAACCATTGTTCTGATTTATATCACTGCAGTTTTGTTTTGCCTCTTGTAGAATGGCATTTAGAAACCTAAGGCTGGATGAGATCAATCAGGGTGTGGATGTAGATAGAGAAAAGAAAGGGGCCAAGGACTGTGCCTTGGGGAATGCCAGAGATTCAGGGGAAAATGAGGAGGAATGGGCAAGGAGACTGAGAAGAAGTAGCCTGAAAGATAGGATGAGAACCAGATAGAGTGGAGACCTGGAAACCAAGTGAAAAAAGTGTTTCAAAAAGGAAGGCATGATGAACCATGTCAGAAGCTGCTGAGAGGTCTTGTAAGATAAGGACTGACCAATAGAAAATTGACCAATAGATTTAGCAACAAGGGGATCATTAGTGACCCTGATGAAGGCTGCTTTGGTGGAGTGGTGGGGCCTGAATGCCTGTTTGGAGTGGGTTTGAATGAATGGAGGAGAGGAATTGGACAGCAAGAATATAGACAAACATTTGAGGAGCAGAAAAATAGGGTAGTAACTGGAAGGGAGTATGAGATCGAGGGAGGATTTTTAAAAAATTTTTTATGAGCAGTATTTCAGTATCTGTGTGTACTGATGCAGCTAACTCAGTAAGAGGGAAAAATTGAAAATGGAAGAAGATGGGAGAGAATTGCTTGAGTGATGCCCTTGAGTCAGCAAGAGGGGATGGGATCCAGTGCACAAAGGAGGGGCTGATCTGATAGGGACACAGGCAGTTCATGGAAGTGGTAATAGAGAAGGCAGGTAGAAATGCAGGTGAGAGCATGCAAAAGTCCTCTTTTGGTTCTTTCTATTTGTTCTGATGTAGGAAGCAAGGGAGGAAGAGGGAAGATGTCAGAAGTTGAGGAGAGAGGTCTAAGTGTGAATTAGTCTGAGAATAGAAGAATTAATCCATCATCACCTCACACCTAACCCTACTGATACCAGTTGTGTGACTTCAGTAAGTTACTTGTGTTTCCTACACCTCAGTTTCTTCACGGAGCTAGTAGTAACCTATCTCTTAGGATGGTAGTGAGGACAGGTGAGAAAACACCTAGCATTGTTGCTGCCCCGTAGTAGGTTTTTAATAAGGGATCATTCCTTTCCAAAGTGTAGCAAGAAAATTGTTAATGGATTACAGGTAGAATAGTGCTTCCGATATTTAAAATACCACTTGAATAGTAATCTAAAACTTTTTCAAATGTGCATTTAATATCTCTTGATTACCTATACTTATATATTCAGAATCCGGAATTGGATAGTCAAATGCCACATTTTAAAAAAGAATTAGATCCTTTTCTCCTGGTTTTCCATTTAAATCTGTAGGGACTCGTTTGAAAAATTTGCCCCACTAGTTGGTTGCAGAGTTCTGAGTGACTATTTCAGAGTTCTGTTTGCTCTATCTCAGTTCAATTTGGCTATGCTCAAGAATGGAGTGGGGTTGAACCTATTCATTGCAGATTTTAAGATCTAAAGTTGATTTATTTAAAAATTTAAGTATGGAAAATTTCTAATAGTCACAAAAATAAAAAGTATAATGAACTCTCATGTACTTATTATTTAGCTACCAACTTAAATGGTATTCAGATTAATTTGGAGAATTAAATCATCTTTGAGAAGATATGGAACTAACTTGTCTTGGTTCACTAATGAATAAGAGCTGAAGATTTTGATTTAATAATAATTTGATCTGAGTTCCTTCAATCATTATTTTATTCATTGATTCATGCAACAGAATTTATTGCGGTCTACTTTGTTCGTTAGTGCCTAATGGCTAAGAGGCTTGGCTGTGTGCAAATCTTAGTTCTGCCACTTAACTAGCTGTGTGGCCCGGGGCTAATTAAAATATTCTGAGCTTCATTTTCCACATTGACAAAATTGAGATGATGCTAGTATCTACCTTATAGACACGTTATGAGGATTCAATGAGGTACATTGGCTTACTCAATAAATGTTAGCTACTGTTATTATAAGTACTCTTTCTCCTTTTCCTCCTCCTCATCTTTGTCATCCAGATTTTGTGCTAGGTGTCATTGGGAAGTGTGAGAGGATTAAGATGCAAACCTTGACCTTGAAGAACTAGAATTTCAAAATCACATAATATTAGAGCCAGGAGAGATCTTCAAGTTTATCTAGTTTGACAAGCCCAGAGAGGTTTAGTGAATTGTCCAGGATCACACCTCTCTCAGTGGCACAGCCAGGCCACAGCTCAGGTCTCGTCTGTGAAGGCTCTTCTTACAGAATGCTTTGTTGGTTTGTCTGACTCTGCCCCCTTCCTCAAACTCGAGTCCTAGATTGACTGTCCTGACCTGCCTGGTTTTCAGGGCTCTGCCTTTTCAACGCGCAAACACTGAAGTATGTGTGAAGCCTTTTGCCCACGTCAGACCTGAACGTGTCCCTGGACACTCCCTCCTTAAGGTTCTAAGGAAGATTTTTTAGGGAAGATAGACAGGCTGTCTCTCTGTGTTGTAATCACAAAGATCTTTTTATCTTTCTTTTGTGTCACAGCCCAGGAGTTAAAGTCACTGTTTGAAAAAAAGTCCCTCAAAGAGAAACCTCCAAGTTCTGGAAAGCAGTCAATATTATCTGTGCGCCTGGAGCAGTGCCCCCTGCAGCTAAATAATCCCTTTAACGAGTATTCCAAATTTGATGGCAAGGTGAGTAAAAACGAAATTGAAATAAAATCTCAATTGAGTGGAATTGGTGGTGGTGGTGGTATTATTATTATTAGATTTAGGGTTTCAAAAGTGACTCAAAGAATTATAGAATGTCATTCACATTTTCTAAGACCGAGGATACAAAGAGGTCTGAATTTGGGTTTAACGTTGTTTCCACAGTAATATGATTTGGGAAGATTAAAACAAAAATAGTCGTAAGATATGTGTGTGTGTATTTTTTTTTCCTGTTTTATCTCCTAAGTGTAGTTGAGGGTTTGGGTTAGTTGAGTTGTGATTAATCGAGGTCTAATTGTGTTGGCAAAGCCTTGAAAGTGGTTCTGGGAGGCAGTTTGCATTGTCTTGTCTGATTCTTTATTAAAACTGCGGAAATTGTTGAGGTTAGAGCTTCAGTTCAGAATTCTAGGCCATTGCTGTCCATGTCAGTATTTCATTTTAGGGAATCTTGTTTGACACTTGCTATGCAGGATGACTTTTTTTTTTTCCTGTTCTGACAATTTGCAGTTGTAAAATTAAAGTGTGTTTATTTTCCTTTTAGAAAAACGGTCATTATTTTAGGTGGGGTTTAGTGCCATGTGCAACACCTTCTCCCCCTCATTCCCTGCCATTCTGTGTCTCTGTGCTGACCTGAGCTGTGCCTCTTTCAGGAGACGGTAGCAGTTGATTTTTATATTTATTGCCATTATGTTTGCTGTCTGGCAGTAGTGTGGGGGTGCTGAGTGATGGCTTGTTGCCTGGAGGGGTTGTGTACAATTTGTCTTATTTCAACACCATTGCAATTAATAAACATACAGCTCTTTGCTTATGTTTGCATTTTTCATATGCAAGTTCTGGTTATATGCTGGTTCTGTCAGTTGTCATCTTTGAGCAAGGAGATGTTTTCTCTTTAAAGCACTTTCACCTCATACAATTCAGCATGTTTCCATAGGTTTAAGTAAGCCTGTATGGCCATTGGCACCCGAGGTTATTGTTGTTGGTGGGGAAGGAGAGCAAGAAATAGAAACAATAGAAATAGAAATAATAGAAACACATAGATGCATAAATAACATAAAGATACTAATATGCTTAGGAGTTTCTTCCAAAAAAACATCTGAAAGCACTGTTAGTAAATTAAAGCGTGTACTGATGTAAAGCTCCTCTTGAGCCTTCCCCTGCCGTCTTCTGTTTCTTCTTGTGGAGTACAGCAAAGAGAAGGAAGGGTCCCCCTAGGGGTCAGGAATGTCAGCCTCTGGAAAATGGCGAGTTGAACGGTAGAGGATTTTTTCTTAAATACTACAATTGATTCGTTTAGATATGTGAAGTTATTATTGGGATTAGGTTATGTGCCTGGAATTTATTTGGTTCCATTCCCTGATACCATCTCATTGTTTGAGGATGTAATTGCTGGAATAATTAATACATGATAGTGCTTTGATGCCAACAAAATAGCACAGATATTTAAAAATATTATATTCTAGAATTCGTATTATGCCATTAGATCTGTTATAAATGACTTAGATTTGGGTTTTTCAGAAGGTTGTGAGCTCTGTTTGGTATATATCTAACTTCTGAAGTGCTAGGGTGAAATTAAAAAAAAAAAATGTAAAGAAGCCATTTCCTCAGTCACAAAGGAATTATTTTTGCTAGATGTGTTTACACTTAAGACTTTCGATGCTTTTGTCTTATCAAGTCTATTTGTAATCAGCAAAGGATGTGAGCGTGGGGCAGTCACCATTACACATTGATTAAGAAAGATTTATTTATCGATAAGTGTATCTTATGATGCGATGCTATTTTATTATTATTCCTACATATTGCAATTGCTAAAATACAATTAAACCCTTGTACTCATCTATTATTTAATATTGATGCATTTGGCAGATATGTAATGAAAGTGGCTAATATTTGAAGGATATTGTACTGTACATATTAAATTAGTCTTTATCTTTGTGAAATGCATCAATATGATATTCAATGACATCTCAATGATTAATAGAGAATTATACTTGAGTCAAGCCTTTTTGTAACCTAGAAATTAAAATGACTATTCAAATAACACCTCAAAATGATCAAATTAGCATTTTGTGATTGCATAATAATGGGATTGTAGTAGTTATAACAGCACCATGGCTGCCTCTAGAGTTAAGATCATGTCAACCCCTTGATAATAAAGCCTTTTCTGTGAGAGTCGACTTTAATAATTTCCAGATTGATTCTTCCCATAGATCACTGGACGTTCAGCACTAAATTTTTGTTACTGTTGTAACTTAAAATTATTTTATTTTTATTCAGCTCATATTTAAGAAGTGAAAGGAGTGTCCTGTTTTAATGATTCACCGTCTTGTCATTGAACTCCCTGCTTTTTGCCTCAAATGTAAGGGTTTCCCGTGTATTTTGATAGTCCTATTTTTTTTTTTTTTCTTTTTTGGAAAAGGTTTGTTAAAGCCACTAAAATATGTACACTTTTTTCCCCTACAAATATTCACAATGCTTTTCTTGGGAATAATGCTTGCCTTATTTACATAATTAACTGAGTTGCTTAGGTCTCTTGGGCAAATGGTACATAATTGGGGAGAGAAAGGGACAGGGAAGAGTTTGGGGTCTAATTAAATATGCTAAAAAACTACTTAATTATGTATTTCCTCATGAGACTAACTGCTGTGAAATCTTCCTCAAGATTAAACTAGCCTTAGATTTGAAAAAAGGATTTTGTTTTTGATACGGCTTTACAATTACATTGTAGTTAAGCTAGCACGTCTAGTGTCTTTAATGGTTTCTGCAAGCTGGTTTGTTGTTGGTTTTAGTGATTCTAAGGGTAAGCACATCTTAGCTGTTGTGCTAAATTAAGTGAATACTTTCAAATAATTTTTGGTTTCTGTAGCTAGTTAATAATTTAATTTTTTAAAATTGTGGTTGGTTAATAAGTTCTTGAAGGCGTACAGTTGAGAGAGAAAGGCTGTACTTAGGTGTGTGCTTTGTTGTAATTTTGGCAGTTTTTTTTTTTTTTTTTTAAGATTTTATTTATTTATTTATTTTCCCCCCAAAGCCCCAGTAGATAGTTGTATGTCATAGTTGCACATC